TAGTGCGATGACCATGAATGATTGATCTTGGCCGAATGGAAGACAATGAAGCTTGTTCCTTTCATTTTGGTCAAGAGAGCAGCTATGCACATGTCTTCGTGCTTCAAGTTCAATCTACTTTCAGTCTGTTTCACTTTGGATTTTTCTCGACCGCCCAATATCCACCTAGCCATTTACTTGTTCAAGCCAAAATATAATTTCGATTTCAAAGTTCAAAAAAACAACTCAAAAAGTGTTTTATTGTCTTCACATGCCAATGCCTCCCAACCTTTTATATCTTCATGATCATCATATCCTTGTCAAAAGAAAACATAATTCGAGTGTTTAATAATTGCCGATGACAGCATATAAATATATGGCAAGTTTAATTATTTGGAGTCGGATAAATCATGACATCGGTAGGAGAATAGGATGACAAACAAAAATAGTGTTACCATTTATTTGTACTATCATTTTTATCATCTCTCTAATAGAAATGAGATTCACATATGTTGGTGGGTCTTACCTCTATTAGAGAGATGGTACAAATAATGGTACCAATAGATAGTAAATCTACCAACTCGATCGCTTACTTTTTTATTCCTTAGTTGTTAGTAAACACATGATGACGTGATGAAACTCATTCTTTACAAATTCGTATGTACAAATAAGCATGCCCCAAAATGATTACATTGTTTTAGGGTCTGAGAAGTAGGCTATGGGATTAGTTAGTGTAACCTCATATCACCTTGCATTTATTATCTTCTTATTTCACAAAGACAAAGGGGAACTGTTGACTTTAAAACGTTGGCGGTCATCTTTTTATTTTCTTCACGACAATAGAAAAGATACATTTACTTTGTTCCAATCATGCAATGCTACCGGTCGCTATACTTCTTGTGATATATTTCAAACATAGAGTTTTCTTCCACTTGAAGTGGGGTAAAAAATAATGGACATATCCGACACATTTAATATCTTTTATATTGGGTATGAACTCAAACTTCTTAGTTCAAAATTTTCATCACATGATTTAATCAAGAATCAAGCAAAGCATGACATATTTATTACCCCATAAAGCAAAAAAGAGTATTGGCGGTTTGATTGATCGATTCTTAATTTTATTTTTCACATGTTTCACTTTTGTATAGAAGGAATGCACATTTAGGTCAAGAAAACTTTTTCTTGGTGGCTAGAAAAGAAAAAACAGAAGTTATAATGTATTTGATGACATTGACAGAGTCGTGAATGGGCCTCCTTCCCAAATTTGTAGTTGATTGAGTGGACGCCGTGTCAAACATGATCAAGGCCTTCTGTTTATAATTGTGTGTTGAGGTGTTCATTACACCGCAATCTTAGGTTGTAGAGCCCCATTCTGAACTTGCTTAATGTTAATCAGTTCATATTCCTTTATTCCTTTTGTTTGACACATCATTATTTAACAGAATTATTTACGATCAATCTAACGACAAAGTTCACTTGTTAAATTTCACAACGGATACTAAAATTTTAAATTAAAAATTGCAAGTATTAACATGTCCTATTGAATGAAATTCAGATACTAAACTGAAATTAATCCTTAAATCAATTATAAAAGAAATGCTTTTTTCTTGTCATGTGTAATATGAAATGTTATCATACAATTCCTCATGCAACCGTATAATTTCGATTGATGATTTAGTATCAGCTATCTCGTATTCAATACAATGAGTAATTATATTTACATATCATTTTTTTTTTTCTTTCTGCACACTCTTATTCATTTTTGTTCTTTAATTATTATTTTTTATTCAATTCAAAAGTATGAGGGCATGCCTTGACACAACGAAAATGTTGCTCCTTTCCAAATGTCGCAAGTTCGAGTTGTGGAGACAATCTTTTTGCAAAGCAAGACTGCTTACGATAAACGTTCTTTTCTCGAACCTTGCAAAACGGAGCCTTGTTGGTGAGGTTGCTTTCATTCAATTCAAAAGTTTGAAGTACGCAAGAGTGTGCATGAAGAAGAAGAAAATGTGTTAAAATCACTTCATTATACACACTTTAGTCGTCAACGGTCTAATTCTTAACCTTGCAATCAACAAGGGCCAGCACTGCCTCTCCAGAAAATACAAGACACCATGCCTTTCATTTTCGTACAGCATGCCAATACCGGACAACAACCGTGCTATTACTGGGAGTATACTATACAAATATTTGACCCCATTGTCTAGATTTGCAACACCATGATTAAACCTTTTACGCTTTTCCTTTCCTACTTTTCAATCTCCATTACCAAGAAGTTAACTTTGCAAGAATCTTCTTTTTGCTTTTAAACCTAATCTCGTTGTATAATAATCTTGACTCAAAGAAAAAGCTAAGTCCATGCATTAGCTTTTTTATTTTTTAAGACGAAGTCGTTTGTTACTCAAACCCTACGCTGTGCGGTTGCAGTAATCTCTAGACAATAATTTTCAAATGGGAGGACCCAAAGACGCATCCCAACACCCAAAGGAGAAAAAAAGCTTAAAGCTTTAACAAATCAAAGTTTTAAAATGCAGGTAAAGAAAGTATGTGGGGGCAAACGAGAGAGGATTAGCTTTTCCCAAAGGAACTTTTGGTTGGAATAATTTTTGCTTGATTCGTCCTTTATGTTTGTCTTGTCTTAATAACAAGTTATATTTTTCATTTGTGCTTTGGACTGTTGTTTACCTTTGCGTATATATATGATCTCCACACTCTTTATCTTTTCTGTGAGTAGGAACCTACTTGGGTTTGTGCTAATTTGTCCTTTTGTAGAAATGGAATTTCACTATTAACCCAAGCAAGGCTTTTTTTAGGTTAATTAACCCTAGTAAGGCTGAATGAACACTATCATATACAACTCACGGTCTGATATATATAACTTTTATACACATATATTAAATTAGCAACGATAACTACATACATACGAAGGAAGCCAAGTATTATATGTAAATCTAATGGACATCATTTTAAGACATTACAACTTTGCTTTCTGCTTATACAAAAATTATTTATCTTGAGTACAAGCACTCAACTTCAATTCATATTTGACCGTTAATCCACCAACTGAAACTAAGTGACTACTGATCATTGGACTTTATGAAATGATATAATGTATTTCAATTCAAGTGCATGTAGGAACTCATTGAAATTTGATACAGACGCTCTTTGGAAATTTGGAGAGTGGGCATTCCATTTCCATGTGAACTGCAATGTAATGTCTTCTCTTACTCTCTGAGCAACCATATTACTTTATGTTATCTTTAGAAAAATAATGTATGTGGAAAAAGTTGTGTGCTTTTGGCCGACCCGCAGGCACACAGCTGTTACCCAGTCAATTAACCAGTTTCTATCACACGCTCAAGGTCACTCATACGCTGCTTGGTTGAAAGAGTTCATCACAGAAACGGTCAAATCCCTAGAACGATGCCCTCCCATTCCAAAACTGAAACTGCTCAATTTGCTTTCCTTTTTCATGCACAAGATTCAATATACAAAACTCTCTTTCCCTCTTTTCTCTCTCTTATTTCACTTTTATCCCTTTTTAGCCACATATTATTAACTATGGCGATCTTAATTTTACATTTGGGTAATATTAGAAAAACTAAATTTATAAATAAAATTTACAAACTAAATAATGTGTCACTAATAAAAATAAAAATAAATTGTAGAAAAAATTTTGTAAACTAAATGGTATGAAAGTTGATGATTGAGTTATTATTTAACGTTGATATACATGCTCATTTCTATTGATGACAAATCAGTTTGCAAATTTTGTCTACAAATTTGATCTCCGGCCCTAGCATTACCCATATGAATAGAAAGAATGACTAAATTGGCTCAGTCCTTCGTTGCTTGGTTTATATTTTATAACACTAAATAAGATCTCATTAGCTCAAAATGTGATTCACTTGGCTCAGTCCTTCGTTGCTTTGTTGATATACGTCCTCATGACCTTTGGTAGCAACAAAGGAAATCTTTGCTTCAGGAGTTATGCTACTATACATCTATATAGTGGCTCAAATTAATTCACTCATTAAATTTCTCAAAATTCTTTAATGCATAACCAGTCATTAATTTCATCAATATACATATACATTTACGTGCTATATAATTTTCTCTACTTGAGTTAAGGTGAGAGTACCAATTTTAAGATGGAAGAGTGCTAACCTTCTCATTTGAAAATCCTCATATTACCTACTTGAATTTTCTCATCTTGCAGCATTATGATTCAACCCATTTGTTTTCTATACATGACATCCTTTAAAGAACAGCTCTACTTAAAATTAACCAAATTTGAAAAAAAGCACTATCTCATTAAAAGGTTCTATACATCCATCATTTCTCAAGGCATTTCTTTAGACAAAAGACTTTGTTTTTTTCCTCTTTTAGGATGGTAAATATTTTTCATACTTGGAGTGTGAATAAAACTCATGTTTAATCGTTTAGTTATCTAACGATTATTCAATTAATAAATTAATTATGTTATTTAGTTAAAAACTAAAATTTAAATAACGTTAATGTAACGGTTAGACAATTTTTAATTTGATTAGTTTTTTGAAGAGTTAATCATTAAATAGTGAACTAAAAGTTAACGATTTTCATCATTACACAACATTAGAAGATGAGAATGAAGATCGAAAACTGAAGAGTAATATTAAAAAAAAAAAAAAAACTATATAGCCAATTAGCCATTTCGTCAATCACTCAATATTATGAAAAAGGAGTGAGAGCACTTGTCAGTTGTTTGAGGAGGATAGAGAATGAAAAGGAAAAACACACCACATCCTTCCAAATCTTTATACAGCCTTTTCTATCATGCAAAAACCCAGTGCTACTACCATCTCTCTCTCTCTCTCTCTAGGGTTCCACCAAACGAATATCTTCTATTTTTCTTGGACCCCCCTTGTTCTCTAATCTTATAAAATTATTGAACCCAAAGGGAGTACTCTTTTATAATATTGTATAATCCAAATTTTTGAGAGCCCACTTTGCTGCGTGAACTCCACACTCACAGTACAGTACACAGAGTGTCTCTCTGCATAAATCGAGAGCTCACGGTTCCCATCAGTATCACACCACACCATTTCTAGATAGAGAAACTCCCTCTTCTAGAGAGAGATAAAGAAACCGAAGAAGAAGAAAACTAGTCTTTTCATCTGGGTTTCTACTAATTCCACTTCTCACTCTAATCTCTGTTCAAAGTTTGTGGCTTTACTTCTGTTTAGGTTCGAGGAGGAGAGAGAAAGTGCAGCCTTTCTTCGCCTACGAAGATTTTCAGGATCTCTTCCTTTCCTTGTTTTTTTGTTCTTTTTCCAACTTTTCCCATTTCATAATTTCGAAAAACAAACCATAAAGTTGTGACTTTTCTCAAACAAAAAACAAAACCAGATTTCAAAGTCCTTACCTTTAATCATTTTTCTCCAAAACAAACAACTTTACTCCGAAATGTCATCATTTCTTCCCACCTCCTCTCTCACATTCTTCCTCCTCCTCTTATTAACATCCAGCTTCCACATTTCCTTCGCCGGTCTACTCGCCGAACCTGTGACCGGTAACCCCCAGCCGCTCAAACCAGGGGAAAACTCCACTCCCAACACTGTCCCGGCCCTCCCAACCCAGAACCCGACCCAGAACCCTATCCAGACCTGCCACCTTGACCTCTCCGCTGAGCTCTTCGGCGGCGTCAGCCAAGCATGCGGCCGAAACCTCGACCGGAGCCGATGCTGCCCTGTTCTAGCCGCCTGGCTCTTCGCCGCCCACGCCAGATCAGCCCTTGAGCTCCCCTCCTCGGCTCCGGCTCCGTCGGCGGTGCTCGACCAGCCGATGATGCCGGACGACTCGCAGAAGTGCGTCAACTCGCTGCAATCCTCGCTCGTCAACCGGAACATCCGGATTCCTCAACCCAACGCCAGCTGCGACGCCGTTCTGTGCTTCTGCGGAATCCGGCTCCACCAGATCGGATCCCTCAGCTGCCCCGCCGCCTTCAACGTGTCGCAAGGGTTCCACAACGCCACCCCCACCGCCGCCCTCAGGAATCTCGAGAAGAACTGCCGCAACTCTTCGTACTCCGGCTGCACCAAGTGCCTTGGCGCTGTCCAGAAGGTATAAAAAATGGTTATTTTTTTTAAACTATCAGAATGCCCTCTGACTTGCCATTTAATTACAGCTCAAGGGAGGGAGCAAGAACGGAACGGCGGGGGACAGGAGCACGAGCGAGAGAGCGAACAAGATGTTCAACCGTGACTGCCAGCTCATGGGGCTGACGTGGCTCCTCGCCCGGAACAAAACGGCGTACATTCCGACCGTTTCCGCCGTTCTGCGAGCCATAATGTACAGTGCGCACCCGCCGCACGAGAACATGTGTAGCCCGGACCAGGAGAACATGCCGCTTGCCGTCGATTCGCTGCAGATCGAGAAGGGGCAAGGGTTCGCCACATCATCGCCGTCCATTTTGTTATTTCCGATCCTGCCCCTGATCATTTGGGCGTCTCTGTTTGTCTAAGGGAATCCGGGGGTGTGGTTTTGCCCAATTTTTTGGTTGTGTCCCTGTCGCGTCGGGTCACGTGATGCTAGTGGACAATACGGGGCTGTTGGGTTGTTTTTGTCATTTTGCCCACTGTAAAAATTTCAGCTCGGTTTCCAAAAAATTGTAGTGGTACAGCAGGAAAGGTCTTATTTTATTAGAAAAACTAATGAAAAATGTTTGAAAATTTTGAGTTTTAATGATAAGGACAAAATAAAGGGTCAAGTGAATAGTACCAGAATTGACTTTTTAGTGTAAAAATGTGGTTTTTCGTTAAAATGAACAGTACCGGGTGCTTTTCGTTAAAGTTCCTTATTTTATTTACCCACATTTCTTTATTTACCTCTGCGATTTGTAACCTCTTCTTTCTGCCAAAATCCAGAATTTAACTAATAAGGGGTTGGTTGAAGTGAAATTTTTTTGAATAACATATGAGTGCTATGTGGTATATAGGTTAGGAAAGGACACTTTTAGAGAGAAAATTTGATAACTGTTTTGGAGATGCTTAAATTAGTTACTCACGTGGGGAAGAATGTTACTTATTACACGAGATGCTAGTGCGGTTTTGTTGATATTTTAAGTTAATCACGGAAGACGAACTTATGTGAAATTGGGACCCTAAAGTAACATTGTCTTATGCTAATCATACGACGTCACATGAGAAGTTCCAAAAGCGGAGGTCCTGTCAACAGAGTTCCAAAATTCCGCCAAGATCGTCTTTGAATTGCCCTCTAAATCTAGAATCGTACAGTAGAACTACAAGAAGTGGAGCTCCCACTCCTTCAATCGAGCGAAGTGTATGATTGTTTTAAAATACCGTCACGTAGACATTCTGAAGTTTCTCAAGGGAATTTGTGAATGGAGGGAATGTATGGTAAACATTGTTTGGGACTTGGGGTTTTTACGTGAAAGATGTTGAGTGAATGGGAGCAAGAGTAATGGCTATAATGCTAAATCATTTGCATTAAATATTATTTTGATTGATTTTGTTCATGGTACTGGGAATTTCTGGAGTTGCATTAATGGTAAATCATTTGGGATTTAAGAACCCAAAGGGAAGGGAGCAAGAGAAATAAAGAAAGAGGGGGTGCCCAATGCTCATTTATAACATAGAAACTCCCCAAAACTGAGTATGTTGGTCGTATAGTAAATGCAAAATTTTGGACCCAAAAATTTTGGATTATAAAACCCAGGACATTGTAAATTGAGGAGAACTAGAAATGGATTAATTTATACATTGTTTTTGGAATCTGGAGGATGAAAATGCAGTTTCACATGTTATAGGGAGCGAATTGCGGATGAATGATTGTCTTTGTCCTCCATTGGATAAATGTTTTTGTGTTTACATTGAGTATCGTGTTCGGGGTTCAATTTTGGTTTGGTTTATTGGACAAATACTATAAACTATTTCATCTTTGTGCAATCTCCACTTTCGTTAAACATTTCTTAATTAACCACACAAACTTCATATTGTGTGACAATGGCAAATCCATCCACTCTCCTATGGAAATGGAAAATTGATTTTGAAAGGGTTTAGTCGTGTGGAATGGTAGTGTAGATGATAAATATTAAGTCGAATGCTACATAATTAAATTTGAATGTAAAAGGAGCTCTAACGGATATACCAACTTTACGTGGATTGACATAAAAATTCTTTGCTGCCAAATTTTAAGATATGAGAAAAGATGCTGTTAATTAAATTTTTTTTAAAATGTTTTGTTGTGTGAAACTCATTAATGCATCAACAATAAATCAAGAAATTTTATTTTAATTGATTTTATTTTAAAAATGAATCCTACAAATATTATTATAACAAAAAACATTATAGTTGGATGAACAAAAAAACTGACGTTGTGAAATCCTGTTCCTGGATTTCATTGTTATAATCTACGTATTTGTATTATTGAGAATTTATTTTAATTTGTTTGAATTAAGATTTTAATTAAATTAGTTACGAAGTTTGAAGTTTGGAGATTAATTATTTAAAATCCGTAGACCTTTCGAGGTCACAATTTATATCGTTGAATAGATTTCGAGATCCCGAACGTATAAGCGAAAGCCGCTTGCAAGTCCGAGTTTTAACGATATAGTTACAGATATTTGAAGTTGTATTACTAAATTATATATTTTAATTTATTTTAAAACTCCCACATAATGGGAGAGGGACCAGGGAGAAATGGAAAATAAAAGGGAACGGACAGGAAAAAAAAAAAAGAGGAAGGAGGGTCTGGTTTTGACCCGTTTTTGGGCATTTACGACCCTTTTGACCCACAAACTTGACCCGCTTGTATCTCCTTCATTCGAGCTCCGTTTTGGGTGATCTTGGTGTTCATGGAAAGCTCTTGGCGAGCCCTACATCTCTGTATTTTTAGATTTCCCATTTTCTTATCCATTTTTCCAGTTCGAGGCAGCAAAGTTCTGTGGGTTTTTAGCAGTTTTATCATTTTTCCGGTGAATCCGGCAATCATTTCCTTCGAGTGAGGTATGAAACTTTACTCTTCATAATCTTCAAGTTGGTATGCTTGTTTTGTGTTTTTGTAGTCGTTTTAGTGTTGGGTGTTTAGAACCCTAGAAATCCGGTTTTTCCTGGTGAAATTGGATGGCATACGACTTGAATTTGTCTTTGGGCTAGTTGTGAAAAGTGTTTCCCTTATTAAGCTCTAGCTACCACGTAAATTTGAACTCATTTAATTAATATTGAAAATTTGGGTTTTCTAAACCCTCCACCTTGGCTACCACCACGTGTGGCGGTGCGTGGGACAGTCCTCGAGTGTTGTTTAAGTACCAAATACCTTCTAGTGACCCTGTGAACCTATGTCTAGCTTGGTTTCCCGAAATTCAATTGTTTGGTGTGGTGATCAAATTGGACCGCCACTTGTTTGTATGATTGATGACAATCTGATCGTTGGATCGCCGTACAATTTTGTGAACACCCTAGTTATCAGTTGTTGGACCTTTGAGAACTTACAGATCGGAAATTCGATGTATGGATCTTTCAGATTGAATAACCTTAGGTTGTTGACCTTAATGGACCTACCTTATCGACAGTTGATGTTCTAATCATCGTGCTCTACTCTAAAGTGTCACTTATCTCTAGAGTTGTTAAGGCTTAATGGAGCTTAGTTGGCTCATCACGATGACGTGTCATTCCCAGTTGACGTGTGTCTCGATATATGTATTAGTGGCACCATAATGAGTTATACTTGTTTATTAAATGTGTTGTCTATTGAATTGTTATTTTTATTTTTAGCATCAATCTATGTTTAGTAATTGTGAATCGACTATAGCTTGGAAACGTTTATGAAATGTGGTTAGATATGTATGAGGTGTATGGTTATTTTCATGACAATGTGATCCTAGAATCCTATTAGAGGTATGTTGTAGCACTTATATGCTTGGGTGACATATTAGTGGTGACCTCGAGAAGTTGATGGTGTAGGTGACTACGTTGTAACTCATAGGGGTTGAGATGTGGATAAGTTGAGTTTACTACACCATGTAGTAGTTGTACATTGATGGTCCTGCTTGGTATATCCGCATTAGGGGACCATACGCATTCTAGGAGTGATCATGCTTGGTATATCCGCATTGGGTGATCACTACCTACCTGATTATTTTGACCCTGCTTGGTTAATCCGCATTGGGGGGTTATTAGTGGTCCTGCTTGGTTAATCCGCATTGGAGGACCCTACTATATATGGATCGCGTTTGGTTAACCCCCGTTGGGTAATCCTTATAGCCATGTATGCTTAGAAGTGATCATGCTTGGTTAATCTGCATTGGGTGATCACTTCCTAATAGTTGTAGGGGTGACTCTGCTTGGTTAATCCACATTGAGGGGTCACTGCCTACTTGGTTATTTTCTCAATGGTGGCTCTGCTTGGTTAATCTGCTTTGGGGGGGGGCACTTCCTGTTTGGTTACTTATGTGGGCTTCAGTTGAACTGCTTCCCTCTAGCCCTGTTTTAATGTACATATGAATGATGGTTTTGAGAATCTTAATGGTTTGAATGGGATAAGTTGTTAGATGTCTGGGTGACTCCTTCGGAGTTGTTAGAGACTTGATTATGTTTTCATATTTACGAACTTATATTTGAGGTTATAAACTATGATTAATGGTCTTTCTTTTTATTGATTATCTCATACTTGTAATTTGGTTCCATTGAGTGGTCCGGAACCCAGTGTTGTTGGATTCCGTTGAGTGGTCCGGAATCCTTGCTTTTGCTCATTTCCATAAGGTTATCTTAGAATCCTAGATTCGAGTGAATGAGAATTACGCACAATGGATCTTGTGCATACAAATTAGAATTACCATGTTATTATTCATAACCCAAGTAGGGAATTATGTAGAGTTCTTTAATTAAACTCGTGAAATGATGTGCTATCTCACTAATTGATTAACGTAATTAAATATTAATATTGTGCTTCATGATTCCCTAATACGTTACAAGCTATGGATAGAGATATAATGTTGGAAGCATAGTGATTGGTATAATGTAGTGAAATGTGATTTGACTTGTGTATTGGAAATGGTTGTGTCATGTGATTGAAATGCTTATTGAATTGCTTGGGAGATGTGAGATCTAGTAATGGACCGATAACCCATTGTGATGGGGATTTGTTGCTCGATATTAGTTCGTTTTGTTGAGTCTTCATGAATTGAGTAACTTGAATCCTGTTTTGTTCCTTCGAGCCGTAGTTATGCTTCTTGGACTTCCATTCGGTTCTGTTGAGTGGTTCGGAACTAAGTTCTGTTTGGATTCCATTGAGTGATAGTCCGGAATCGTATCATTGACTTGTTAGTTCCTTGGATTGATATCAACTTCAGAGATGTAGGCTTCGGCCAAACTATGTCGCTCTAACCCTGCATTTTGGTATATGATGTGTTGTTGATTGATGTGATTGTGGAATAATGTTGGTTGTGATTTTTGTCATTATAATTAGACTCGTTGACTATTTTGGCTAGAGAATAACATGGTGATTCGTTGATTGTTCTTTGAGATGTTGCATATTATGAAATGGAGAATCATGTGAAATGTAGTGATTTATATGAAGGATGAAGTGGAAAATATATGTGTGGGTAGAGCATACTTGCATGCATGACAAGATGATAATTGTGTATGGCTTATGGTTGATGCGTAGTGTGGTACCCTATGTTTTTTTCACTATAAGTATTTTACGAAAAGATTAAAGTTTGACGAACGTTGAACTACGAATGGCTTAATCCCTATTGAGGGTACGTAGGCCGTCTAACGAAGAGGTTAGATGCAGCCATAAATTGTACGAAAAATGCTATGAAATTTGAATCTTGATTTATGCTTTGTACATATCCCGGAGGCGGGGTATGTTAGATGTACGGGTATTGGTGACGTCACGTGTCGATTCTGACGTATGTTGGGATCAGGGCGTGACAGACGTTGCAACTTCATTCATCAAATAGTATTTGACTTTTATCTTTTGACATCTCCATGGAGATGCTCCACATGACTAAAAGTGAATGCGTTGGCACTGGATAATATGGTCGGTTTGATCGGTTTTGACTTGGTCGAATCATTTTTCTTCAACTTGGAAATGAGGGGAAGAGAGAGAGTCGGAGAGGAAATATAAAGGAAGAAGGGGAAAGAGGGAGAGAACTCAGAGAAGAGATTGAGAGCCGGACACGGAAGAGAAAAAGTGGCGAATGGAGAGAGAGAGGAGAAAAGAGCAGAAAACGGATACATTTTATGTGCAATTGCTTTTATTTTATTTTTAATTTTTTGCAAACAAAAAGTTTAGACGAAGGGAAGGTTGACCTATCTAGAGATAGAGCATACTGCAAATCTCTTCGATGATTTATAAAGGGAGTTTTAGCCATTTTTTGGTTTTCATCGCTTACCAAGAGGAATTGCCAGTAACCGAACTCAAACCTAAACCTTGGTCTAGCAAAGAAAACAATTCTTACCAACTTAGCCAACCCTTAGTGGCGCAATTGCATTTATCATTTGTGTAGAACGACTAATAATAGACATGCAGAAACATACCAAAAGATTATTATATAACCGATCGAGTTCAATTTTATGTCACAAAATTGGGAAGTGTGAAGTGGGAACCAATCCCTTTTATTCCCAATTTCCTCAAAAAACATTGTTACTGTACATGTATTGCAGTTCACTAGTCCCAGAATACAACACAAAGGCAATGACTTACTTCCCTCCTTCCTAAAAATGTCTTGTGAGAAAAATAAAAAAAATAAAAAACTCCATCGTTTTCTTTCTATCACCAATAAAAAAAGAATCATAAATCCAGCATATTTTCTCCTGGAAATCATGACCATTGAAAAATCACAATCTTCAAAGTGAGCTAATACCATATCCATCCTTTACTAGGAGAAATTTTTAGTTGTAACGGGAATACAGATGGTACACCGTATGTTTTTATGCAAGTGGTGAAAAATTTTAATTTTTAAGTTATTAACTTTTAACACACATAACCCACCATTTTTATAGAGACACGTGGTGTACCACTTCGAGTGACGGTCACACTGAAAAATCTATCCTTTACCAGCCCTTGCCTATAAGCCACAACCAGTCAAGTAACACCCCTGCTAGTATACCTCCAAGCAAGAACAACACCAGAAGATTTCCCAAAGCATTTTGCTCCGGCCCCTGCAAACCCGAAAAAATCCGACAAGTCATTACTTTCAACTCGAAAAAAACTGTTAGGTTTTAGAAAAATGAAGTTCACAAACCCTGTAGCCCTTAGGTGCTGAAGTAAGGACGCAGACGGTGAGGTAACCATTGGTTAAACCTAAGAAGGATGTGAGCATGATCATCCAGCCTTGTTCACCATACTTGGCTGTGAAGTAGAAACACGGGACAAGTAAGAAGCGCGAAAGAATCACGGTCATGAGCCCTCTCCGCGATTCCAACTTCAGGAATTTCACTAGCGGAATGTATCTTCCGATGAGATCACACACATTGTACAGTGCAATCAAAACAAGTGCATACCTGACGAAGAAAAAGCATGTGCATTCATATAAGCATAGAACTGAATGGAACATAAGGGAAAGGTAAAATTTTGACAATGCCTCTTAAGATTAGTTCCCTATTCCGATTTGCCTCTTAAACTTTCAACTTCATCTGGAGGATCCCTAATTAATCATTTACTAGGATCGGATATGCCCCCATACCTTCAAATCTGTCAATTTTTCTGTAAATTGAGTGTTACTTTCGTCCATTCAAGGAGGGGAAAACTAACGAAAATTGCGATAAATTTGATGGTGAGTGAAATTATTAGCACATCTTAAAAGATAAGGAAAACTAACGAAAAGTTTAAAAAAACTTCCCTTTTAATGAAAAGCTCTTTTTAAAGGTATAGTGAATAGTAATAGGGAAAAATATAAATGTGGTTTTTTGTTAAAAGTGAACAGTACCAAGAGTGTTTTGTTAAAACTCCCTAAAAGATATGGGGATCAGAAGGCCAAATTGAAAGTCGAGATGGAATACCGAAAGCAAGACATAAGTTCAAGGGGCACTGGTAAGATCTGAGACGCAAACATTTGATAGATTATGTTCACTACGTACCATGTTCCCAAACTGTGAGATCCAGTGTCTTCTGATAAGAATCCGGGGGAAATTGACAAAGTGAGCGTATAGATTAGAAATATGTCAAGTGCATAATCAATGTTTTGAAGCAACAACTGTTTGTTTCCAAGTCGATTAGGTTCTCTAGGATTCTCCTCATCCTGCTTCAAATTGCGGTGTTTTTTTTGCAGAACATTAGAACATGAATTCTTGGAAAACTTTGTAAGCAAATATTGGACAAAATTACATACTGTTGCTTCAGCCAATGTTTGGATGCCACCAGCGGCAAGGTCAGCTGAAACAGTTTTAGATCCTTCGGAAGCAGCCTTAGAACGATAGTACTTAACAATTGGCAGTTTCGGAAAAGAAAAAGCGTAGAGGAGAATGCAGAGAAGCTCGAAGAATGAAGTGATGGCAAAGAACAAAACTGCAGTGGACAGTGAAAAATAAACAGTCTTTAGTTAGAGGTCCAAAAGAAAACAGTAAAATGTTCAACAAAATATGAAAAACTGAGAACTAAAAAACCTACTGGCTCCCTTTCTAAGACCATTTTGGGAATTCTCAAATGCCGCCTTTGTAATCAACCTCAAAGCAGAGGTTAGAGCTCCTGAGGCAGCCAAACCAGCAAGGAAAGACTGAAAAGTTTGAAATAAGAGAAACTAATAAATTTTTAACGACTTCGTAAACACGAAGGAAAACAAATATTAAGCACCGAACGTGAAATTGTGGAAAGAAACAATATTGACTTGGATGAGCTCTCCTGGCATGAAAGAGAGGTCTCCAACCATTCCTCCTAGCACATGAGCATCTGCAATTCCAAAGGCAGCGCTAATTGCACAAATTCCGATAAAAGTTCCAAGACCTCCTTTCCCGGATGTGGCTAAATCCAACTGTGCCAGAATCAAGAAAATTTTAAAGGCTTAACCAATGCTAACATTTTGTGAACTTAAAAAGTAAACTGAAAATATAGTCTTTGGAGATTTGAAGGGAACTTACAACTAGCACCAACAGAGAACTTAGGAAAAACAGAATGTATCCTAACAGGTTTCGCTTCCTCGTATTGATCTTCGCCTCATGGTATGACAGTACGATGATCGTTAAAACTGCGAATGGCTGGTATACCACTGTAAGTACCCTCGATGGATGGTACCACTGCACCCGGGAAAAAAGGAAACAAAACTCAAGTGATGAGGCATTTAATCTAACTTCAAATGTAACAAACTGTCCAAACACACTGCCTGCTTTCACATGATTCAAAAGCAAATACAGGAGATTATGAACTAACAGAAATAGTGAGAACAAAAATTGATTAATTCGGGCAGTTACCGGGAACAAGTAAACATAGTAATCTACAATTGTGATCATGCTGTTCCACGAAAAGAGGCATCCATTTCCAAGAAACCAACACACTACCATTGCAGCATACTTCCCCTAAAATTAGAGAACAAATCCTTATAAGGAATTGATTCTACGCTAATCGGGAGGCGGATTCGAACTTGGGTGCAACAAATTCGTTGTAGCGTAAAGGAAACAAAAGAAAGGGCAGCAAACCTCAAGCTTTGGTGGGGGTGCATCAGGGCTTGCCATTACTGCTTCCTTTCAACCAGCTTTCCCTACATAGCGAATGCCCATGGCAAATTAGCACAGCAATATATCACAGCCCACATAATTAGAAGTCGTTTTTTTGGAAATTATTCATCAATGGCTAGTTTACAATGATTATCTCCAGCTATTCATCTTAAATTTGCTGCTCTGGCAACAAAGTTTCTGCTCAATCTTGTCGAGAAGGCATTAGACATTTAACTAAGTATTGTTCCATCTTTATCTATAAATTATTTCGAACGTCAAAATTGAATTTGTAGACTTTTCGCTACAAGTTTCATTATAAGATAGAACAACAATGTACACATATGCGAGGTAGGTCAATTAAATATGACAATGTGTCATCATTCTTAAACACTCATGTTTGGATTCCCCTCCACCGTGAACTAGACTAATTTAGGATATCTCTTGGTGAAAACAAACAATATATGATATTCCCAACATCTTAAATTTTAATTCTATGATGCAAGAAGCAACAAAAGTTGTAATCTAAACAAACCCGTTACAGGTTAGTGGATGCAACAAAAAACCAAGCACTCACCTTTGACTTTCTTTCACCATTATCTTTCATAAACATGCAAAACCATAGCTTTATCCACAAAAGGAGAGAGAGAGAGAGAGAGAGAGAGAGAGAGAGAGAGAGAGAGAGAGAGAGAGATAGAAACTTACTCTTGGAAGAAGGTGGGTGGGATTTGATATGTATGGAATGGACTGTGACTCTGTGGATTGTTTTATCAGAATCTGAAATTTACGTGCAATTTGATTCTGTAGTATCTTACATATCCAATGAGGAAAAAAGGCCCATTTCTATCAAGACTGGAATCCTATGAGCCGTCAGCTGTGCAAACTCAGAAATAAGAACTCGCGGGTGTTTGGTTGGTTGCACGTGTAAAACTCAAATCCTAGGTTTGCGTTTAACTTTTTCTGGCGTTGTGGCATCCGGCTTTGCATGCATGCATTCATTCATTCATCAAAGTCGTTAGGATTCAGGAATCGCAATGAGATAATAATCCAATCCAATACAACTCAATAACCAAAATCAAATGTCAACCGCTTTTAGTTTCCCTGGAAAACATCTCAATAATCGCAACAGAAAATTAAAAAAAAAAATTGAAAAATTAAAGAAGAATAATTTAAAAGCTCGAATTTGAAGAGGAGTGGACGTTTATGGCCAGTTATTTGGGTTTCCATAAAAAGACAGAAAGGAGTGAAAGTCCATGAAAAGGGATGTTTCTGCGTTCACAATTTAGACGGCGTTGACTTTGCGGTCACGGCGCCTGTTTCTCTCTCATCCACTTCCACATTCACATTGGTAATACCCCATTTAATACTTCATGGGATTCTTAAAACGGTCGAGTTATATAGTATCTATAGCATTTTTCATGATGCAAACATGTCATTGGTTGTGAACAAAAAGAAAAACATGTCACACACAAGGTTTTAAGTATTTGATCTTCACAAAAATATCGATGATCGAATTTATAGATATATTAATAGATATTTCGATACCGAGTAACGTAGGATCTTTAGAGTGAGCTTTGTTGTAACTACAAGGCTTATTTATATATGACTGTTGTAAACTAGTTTTAGAGGCAAATTAAGTTTGAAAGATAATGCTCCTATCAAGTAATAATTTTCCTTTTTAAGTATACGGATGTAAGTTGTAACAGCTCCTCGGTGAAGCATTAGTTGAATAAGAATGAGATCGCCAGAAAATATTGGTATGCCTCTATGAATCTCAAAGACATGTGAAGTGTATCTAATATATGCATTAGTTGCATCCGGGAGATAACTACATATTTAAAGAGAGATGCATAAGCTAGAAAGCCAATGACAGGTAACGGTCATCAAAATACACACGGGTAGTCTTAAGTTATATACTGTCTATCATCTTCTAGTTGTTGATCATAAGAAAAAAAAATCATAGTTTTTTATCATACATAATTCTCACAAAAATTCGTTTATTTTTTAGAGCTTGATGTTGATAAATTCACAGATCTAAAAAATTCATTTTGGACAATTGATTTTTCTCAAACTGTTTTTTTTTTAAGAACTAAAAAGATTTGTGCCAAAATAACAAATGCAAAGAAGAAAAAAAGACCTAAACAAGAAGTTCCAGTTCTTGAGGGATAATATCAGCCATTTGACGTCTATACGATGCATCCGTTATGATTACTTCGTAACAACACCCCCCCGCTTTTTCCCTTTTCGTATTATTTTGCTTAATATATCTGCTGCTATAGCATTATAATTTTTTTCTCCCGTCGAGATAAATCTGATCCATTCTCCTATTCTTGGGTACATACATGGGATATTTTAAGAAGTGCACATATTTTTTAGTAGCAAGGTCTGAGAAAAGAATAGAAAATGTAATTTCACTATATTTTTTACCAATAATTGGACCTATCACAATAATATGTTTTCTGGTGGGACGTGTTGGATTTGTGACCAAGTGGACACCAAGCCAAAATACCTTTCGGCTAATAAAATAGAATAAGGAAAAGGGGGACATCATTATGATGTCTAGCCCTTGATTTGTGGCTTTTACAAAGGCAAAGAATATGTGGCCTTTTGTTTATATTAAGGCATTTGGTTATGCCTTTATAAAAGAGAGAGTTGAGAACGGCAGATTAGAGAGAAGAAAGAGAAGGGTTGCTGTTATCTATCCTTCCCATTTGTTTGTAATCCTCTTTTGTTAGTAATCACTCAATCAAAGATATTTGTGCTACATTTTGTGGCTTTTGGGAGAGAAGGAATTTGGTATATGTTTCCATCTTCTCTATTTGTTCTTTGTGAGAGTGAGAGCTATTGGGTGTATGTGGGATTTGGGTTTGAGAGTTAAAACTCTATTTGTAATCTCCATTTGAAATAGTGAAATTTTCTCGCCGTCTCGGAACTGGACGTAGGCTTACGCCAAACCAGTATAAATCCTTGTGTCATTTGGATTATTTGTCTTATCATATTTTACCGTTGTTGCTTATTGGTTTCATATTTGACGCTTCCGCACAACAAGTGGTATCAGAGCTCTGGGTTTCGACTTGGGGCTTTGTACTAATATGTCTATGAAACCTTCGAATATGTCGGTGAAATATGATATTGAAAAATTCAATGGGAGGAATGATTTTAGCCTGTGGCGGGTTAAGATGCGAGCTGTGCTAGTTTAACAAGGGTTGCTTAAGGCGCTACAGGGTGTGGAGGCCTTGCCACAAGATTGGTCTGCTGAAGAAAAAGAAGACACTTTGAATCGAGCACATAGTGCAATTATGTTATCACTATCTGATGAAGTTCTTCGTGAGATGGAAAATGAAATTACTGCAGCTGGTTTGTGGCTTAAGTTGGAGAGTATATACATGACCAAATCCCTCACCAATCTTTTGTATTTGAAGCAACGTTTGTACACTCTCCGTATGACTGAAGGTACACCTATTCAAAACCATCTTGATGAGTTTAATAAGGTTATTATGGATTTGAAAAGTATGGATAATAAAATTGATGATGAGGATCAATCTTTGATTTTGTTGTGTTCTTTACCTCCTTCGTATGCGAATTTTGTTGAAACTTTGTTATATGGGAGAGATTCTATTTGTATGGAGAATGTGAAAGCCGCTTTGAATTCAAGAGAGTTAAAGAACAAAGTATTTGGAAATTTGAATGATTCTCATTCTGAGGCTTTTATAGCAAGAGGCAGAGATAGGGAATATGGTTCAGGTAGTAATAAAGGAAATTTGAGATCGAAGTCTAAGACCAGAAACAACACATGCAACTATTGTCGCAAGGAAGGGCATTGGAAAGTTGATTGCCCAAAATTGAAAGATAATGCTGGTGCGAGTGCGAATGTCGTCGATGACGACTTCGACTTTGTTCTATGATGACAGTTGGCTACACCAGATTTGAAATTAAAAAAAAAAAAAAAAAAAAAAAAGGGAATCTGGTGTTGTGGGTACTCTTAAATCTCTTTGCTACATATGGAAATTTAAGAGTTTGTAAGGATTCTTTGTTATGATTTGAGAAAGTTGCTTAGTAGCCTCTATGTATGTTTTGTTATGTCAGTTGCTCTTCATCGGTGTTTTTATTGTTTTGGATATTGGTATGGTTTTCCTTTTTTTTGGTAAAGTTGAATTCAGTGAGGGCCAATTTGTTAAGTTCTACAAGTTTGGATAGTGAGACACCACATTATTTTGGAGACACCTAATGCGGAACATTTGTGTGGAACCCTCTTGTAGAAGGCAAGTTATATGCTTTCTAACTTTGGTCTATGGACATTTGGTTGGATTTGTTTGCCACTGCTATTTGGTCTGTTGGTCTCCATCATCTGCAATTAGTTTTCTTGAAGACTCTAGTTGAGGTTTGGTTTTGGATCTCCTGCTGATTATTTGAATTTGAAATTTTGGTTGTCCTGTTGGTGCTTATGTGATGATGGTAAACTTGAGTGAAGGGCATATTTTTGTATGTGGTTTGTGAGACCTTGTTGCCAAATTTGTAATCAGTTTTGACTTGGAGAATGTGTCATGCTATGTGAATGAGTCTATTGGTGCAGTTTAAGACCATGGTGTTTGTGAGCAGGTGGAGTTCGTTGTGTGTCCAACTTTGGTATGGTGTGCTTGATCTTTTGTTGGCGATATTGAAGAATTTCAGTTCTTCGTTTGAATCACCTTTTGTTTTGATCAAGGCACTTATGGTTTGCAAATTTGGAGAAGACGGTAAAGAAATGGTCTACTTTTGTTGGCTTTGGTACAATTTGAGTCGAGGTGGAAATTGTTATGAGCACTGGTAAGTTTGGGGAATTTGATTTAGTTTCCGTTGTCTTTAGTTTGTACTTTGGGTGCTTATGGTGATTGTTGATTCGATTCTCTGTGATGCTTTCGGAACTTGGTCAAGGTGGAGATTGTTGGATTTGTGACCAAGTGGACAACAAGCCAAAATACATTTCGGCTAATAAAATAGAATAAGGAAAAGGGGGACATCATTATGATGTCTAGCCCTTGATTTGTGGCTTTTACAAAGGCAAAGAATATGTGGCCTTTTGTTTATATTAAGGCATTTGGTTATGCCTTTATAAAAGAGAGAGTTGAGAACGGCAGATTAGAGAGAAGAAAGAGAAGGGTTGCTGTTATCTATCCTTCCCATTTGTTTGTAATCCTCTTTTGTTAGTAATCACTCAACTAAAGATATTTGTGCTACATTTTGTGGCTTTTGGGAGAGAAGGAATTTGGTATATGTTTCCATCTTCTCCATTTGTTCTTTGTGAGAGTGAGAGCTATTGGGTGTATGTGGGATTTGGGTTTGAGAGTTAAAACTCTATTTGTAATCTCCATTTGAAATAGTGAAATTTTCTCGCCGTCTCGGAACTGGACGTAGGCTTACGCCAAACCAGTATAAATCCTTGTGTCATTTGGATTATTTGTCTTATCATATTTTACCGTTGTTGCTTATTGGTTTCATATTTGACGCTTCCGCATAACAGGACGATAGCTCTGAAAAGACAGATTTCCTATCTTTTCTTTAATTTTGGGCGAAATATGATCAGGAATGGTTAATTCAAAGCTCTCCCATTCAAAGCTCATTTTTTACCATTAGTAAGAACTTGTTTTAGTATCAAAAGGAATGCTTCTCGTGGATATTTACAAAATCCTGCTGCTTCATTTTTTTTTTTTTTTTTTTTTTTTTTTTGGTACGAGGGAATTTTATTGATAAGAAAAAAGAAGGTACACCTAGACAGGGGGGGACATAAACCTAACCCCTCATAGAACAAGAGAAAAGAAATACAAAAAAGGGGGGGACATGCACCTTACCCCTTTTGAGAAAGGAAATACAAAAGAGGGGGGGACATAGACCGTACCCCTCTTGGAAAAGAAAATACAAGGAAAAGACTAGGCGGACATAAGCCCAAACCCTTCTATAAACCTAAAAGGTAATAACCTGCAAGACAAGCTGCAAAACAAAAGGGAATCCAAAAAGGTTAGGAAAAGAAAGGAGAACACACATCAAGAAGAGGAGACAAACCTGTAGGTTGGCATGCCCAAGAAATCTGAGTGCAGAGGAGGAAGGATCTCTATAGGGGGAGTGGAATGCCAAACAAGGGAAGATGATAGAAGCCCTAAATTGGCTAATTTGTCAGCAACAACATTCTCTTCTCGAAAAATATGAGAGCAACAAAAAACCATGTTCTGCAAATGGAG